AGGTATATTATCAGACTAATTGGGTTCAGTTTTAATGGTATTTTAATGTTAGTATACGACGTAGTATTGTATAATTCCTAATTACTATTGATAAAATATAATTTGAGAAATTTACTTATAAACGTTTTAGTGGGTAACTTCTTAAAGGTTTGTATCTTTAAGGTATTTATATACGACGCATAGTCATCATGTATCCGGTCTACTATAAAAGAATAAATAAAGGTAGAATGAAGCTAAAATTAACAAAGTATTTATAAAATAAAGTTGAAAACATACAAAAAATATATCTATGATATAAAAATATTAGAGCATTTYAAATGTCTTTTAAATAGAAACAAAATATTGATTAATACACAATTTTATTTTACTATAAAAATATATGCATACAAATGTATAATTTGAAAACAAAAGAGATACCTATCGTTGGGTAAATCCAAAGCTTGATCGAAAAGAAGATACAGTATTATTATAACTCATCTTTGTAAATGTTGCAAATACTTTTCATGCATATCTTTTAACTTTCTGTAAMTAATGGCCTTTGCTATCGATGTTTTTTTGTGATCAATAAAAAAAAAAATGAATAATTTATTTAAAATTGATTTGTCTAAAATGTATTTTATTTTCAATTTAAGTATAATGTATTCCTTAACTTATAGTCGTAATAATTGAATTGGATTTAATCATATACCTATCTACCGTGATATAATATACTGATCGATGGAGTACATTGTAAGTGTATCAGTGTATCACYTGAAAATCAAAATWTGTCAWACATAATTCAAACACACATACCATCTGGCATCTGGCTACCAAAGAAAAAAGAAGATGATGGMAATTTTAAACTAATTGGCATTTTTAACAACTTGAGTATCTAATATTTATATTCTAATATATCTATATCATATTTTAATTAGTATAAAAAAAATCCTAAAAACTCCAAGTACCTATAATTGTTATAAAATTGATTTTTTTTATGTAATAACATAATTACATTGCATAAAATAATATATATTCTCAAAAACTTTTCGGTAAAAACTAAAAAGAATGTTTATGTTGCTGTAAATGAGTAAATGTCCGCAATTGATAAGTGTTAACAGTCACCGGTTAATGTCGTCGTACACCAAAGTCTTTAGTGAATGTTGGTATGTTGATTAAATTTGTACTGTTTGTGAACATTCAAAAGTGAATTTCGACATTTATAAAATGACATCGGTGAACATACGTGAAATATTTTTGAATAAAAATAATTATAAATAATTATAATTGATATTTATAATTAAATATATTGTTTCTATTTTATATTACYGTCTATATACTATAATATACAATAGTACATTAATACTAAACTATAATATTATGGGCAAATACGTACCTATATGTCAACATTAACCAAAACCGTGTTGTGAATGTCAACATTGACTAAAATCCTAATGAAGATGTCAACATCTAATAGTATTTGTCTATATYATTTTAATTTTTCAACATTTAATAATTTAATAGGTATAGGTACGTCGATATTCACTAGGCGACCGTTTGCACTCACCAAAATTGTGGACATTCACAGTAACATACATAATAAGGTTCAGTGTAGTTTTTACC